ATTATCTTTATTTTAATATAAAAATAAAAAATATTTATTAGTAAAATTAAAAACTTTTATATAAAGAGAAAAATTCATATTGTATTATATTTAACTAATAAATTTTGATATCATTGCATTATTTTTAATTATTACTATATTATATTATAATATTATTCAATTTAAATAAATATATATTTTTAAATTTAGTTCTAAATATAATATTATATTTAAAATAATATAATAATTAATATTCTATAAATTTTAAATTAATAAATATTTGACTTAATAAATTATAATATTTATAGTTATAGTAATACTAAATTAAATTAATAAATTTGAATTTATCTAATTTAAAAATTTTTAATTATATTTTATAAAATTTATATATAAATAAAATTATAAATATAATATATACAAAATTATTAATAGTATATATATTATAAATTAAAATAAAATATTATATTTATTCAAAATCAATTTAGATTAATTTATATTAAAGTTAAATTTGAATTAAAATTAAAATTAAAATTAAAGTTATATCAATTTAAAATAGTTTAGAATTCTTAATTTAATATTTAATACCAAATTAATCTAAGTTAATTTTGAATCAATACAAATTTTATTTCAACTTATAATATATATATAATATATTTATATTATTAATATATATACATATCTATATTTATTATCAAAAATTGAAAAAAAACTATAATAAAACATAGTAAAAGTAATATTATTTTTTTATATTAAAATTTATTATTTTATTAATAAATATTTTTTTATTTTTATACTAAAATAAAGATGATAACTTATATTTTTTATATGTATTTTTTTAGAATTTTTTAGAATTTTCTGTTTACTTGTAAACATAAAAAAATTTTTATAATTAAAATTACAATTTTTTCAATTTTAATTATAAAAAATTTTTTCTATATTTACAAGTAAACAGAAAATTCTAAAATATTCTAAAAAATATATATATCTAAAATATAGATTATTATCTTTATTTTAGTATAAAAATATTTATTAATAAAATAATAAATTTTAATATAAAAAATAATATCAATTTTACTATATTTTACTATGATTTTTTTTTAATTTCTGATAATATAGTGTAGAAATGTATATATAATATTAATTATAAATATTAAATATTTTGAGCAAATTTTTAATACAAATAATTAATATCAAAATCAAAATCTGTAAAATTTTTTGATTTAAATATATATATATATTATCTAATAATTTAATTCATCAGTAAATTAAATATAAAATATAAAACTTTAATTAATATCAATTTGTAAAATTGTTCTATATATATATATATATATTATAAAATCTGTATTAATTCAGAATTAATTTGAAATTATATATCAAATTAAAAATCTTAAACTATTCCAAATTAATATAACCTAATTTTAATTCTAATCCAACTTCAATTCTAATATTAACAAATTATAAATTAATTTAAATTGATTTTGAATTAACATGACATTTTATTTCAATACAAATCTTGTTTTTGTTTATAAAAAATTATAATTTGAATATTCAAGTATCCTAGTCATGAACAAAAAAGTGATAATGCCAATAAGAATGCATAATCAATAGGAATATAACAAGTTTTTGATTAACTTGACAAAAACAAATCTGATACAAAAAATATGAAGACAAAAAATATGAAAAATACAAAAATCAGATATTTAAATCTAGCTTGGCACGATATCAAAAAATATTAGAAAGACAATTTTATATATAATCTTAACTCTAATAATACTTGATATCTAAAATTAATAAGATAAAAAAGATAATCGGAATAAGCCACGTGATCAGTAAAAATCTAGTATATATATCGATATCACATGACAAATCAATAAGGATGCGCAAATTTTTGAAAATGTGAAATCTTTAATAGTTGTCGACACATATATGATTTGCGCATTCTTATTGGTTTGTTATCATGTGATTACGAGCCGAGCACAGTTTATATTTATGCGATAATCTGATCTGGGAACAAAAATCGTTAACTCGCGATTTCATTTACGAAACATAAATTAGTATGCGATTACCATATGGCAATACTGGTATTGGCATTTTAGTGATAACAATACTGCAGGAGACTACCGATCAAATTTCCATATACATAAATTTGTACAACATAATTTTTACGACCAGCCAGCCAGTATACATGTACACGTACGTATTTGTCTTTCATAATAAATTTCAGAGATAATATCAACAAATCCTTTTTCTAAAATATACATCCAAAATGACTCAAGTAATGTTAAAAAATACAGATGTTTTACGCTGTATTTTCGAATATCTGTCAAAACGAGATCAATATACGTGTGCGCGAGTGAATAGAAAATTTTGCATCGTTGTGATATCATTTATCTGGGCAACGCCGTTTGGAACCTCATGCAAGCGAAATGTAAAAGTCCTAAAGAATTATTTTCTGTTTTTCGATGACAAGAATATACTTCAACCGATGTATCATAAAACTTCCACATCCACGCAAGCTTTACCACTTTTCGATTATCCATCGTATCTTAAAGAACTGCGACTCGACGAACTTTTTATCTCGTTGAATATGATTCTAAGGAAACATTATCCATGTACTAAAAGTTCCCATGATAGTCAGTTGAACAAATTGATATGTGCGCTGTTGGATATGTTTTTAGCACATCAAGTGAAATTGAAAAAGATTTTTATTGACAAAAAATTTAAGTTAAACATACACGCAATTCAGGCGTTTAAAGAACAAAAATATTCCTCGATATTCAGGTCGATTGGCACATTGACTATATGTCAACAAAATTTCAATTTAAAGTTGATAGAAGCATTAAAGGATTCAGGATGTCAGAATATTGTAAAGGTTTATTTATATGAATCTGGGTCTTTTATTTCTATCAATTTAAATATATCTATTCTCTTTTTAACAGAAAAACTTTGAAATCTGGATGCTGCATCACACCGACATTAGCACAATCTCTTCATTGATCATGTCGCAAAAGGGCCTCGTTCGTTTACGTATCTTTGACTGTGAACATGGAATCGATCTAATACTACCTGCAATAAAAAGTCAAGCGGAAACCCTACGAGATCTCGAATTAGACGTCGTAGATTACTGGAGATGTTTACCTTGGACTGACCTGGCCGCTTGTGAAAAACTAGAACGTCTCTGGATAACAAATTCTCAGCATGTAACTCCTGCTATGGTTAAACCATTACATACTGCATCATTTCCTTATATGAAAGATATAAATGTCAATAATCCATTGTATGAAAATTGCGATGAACTCAATGCTTGGTTTTTAAGTAGAAAGCTTACCATGGAATTTAATGACTAAATTTATACATGTACAATATTAGTAATCTGTATCACCTGCATATTATTGATATCGTGTATTTATTCCAAGAGTCTGAAATTAGTGAATAATCATTTATACAATATCAAGTATATTTAATTATCGAGTCAAACCTTTTAACGATATTCACTGTTTATTGTACGTAGAATGTTACCTTTACACAAATTGTTGATTGTTGATGTGTTGCATGTACATGTATATACATGTACATGTATTGGTAACGTTAACAAATGTACGTAGTACGTAATTACATGTACCTATTATAAACTGGTACTTCACAAATGAAAACTCGATTAGCTAAAAAATGGATTGTGGGCAATACAAAAAAAATATTCATAAAAGCCCCTTATTACATGTACTTAAAAGGAAAAAACTGCGCCTTATAATTAAAATCAGAAGCTTTTTTTGTACAAATTGTTTTGATAATTTGGAAATTGTTTGCCGAATTGCATTAAGGACATCTCCGTTACTATGAAGTTTACTATATACAGAACATTTTTATTGTGTTAACGTTAAAAATAATCATGTTTTCTAAACCTTGTGTCAGCGTTAAAAAAGAATTTTCTAAATTGTTATCAGTATTTTTTTTAATTATGTTCCCAAATATCAGTACATGTACTACTTATTATGCAGGCAAACTTCCTGCATTTATTCAAAATTGAATTCCTCATTGTAACATAAAACTTAACGAT